CCCTTCATTTTTGATGGAAATTTTTGCCTTTATGAAATAAGAGGTGGAGGAAGACCAGTCTATGTGGAGGTTTGGGTAATGGTGGCATGAGGGCCTTGAAAATCACCCTTGAGGGGTGTTGCTGAACACCTGAGTTGATTTATTCTTTCTCTTGTCACAGGTTTCTGGTGTTCCCAGATTTAGGGCGAACCCTTCAGTCCATCCTTGACGATGGCACAGACCTGACAGAGAAAACGGTTTTCCAGGTTGCAGTGCGGCTGGTACGTGCAGGTCCAGCCTTTTCTGGGGTAGGGTTGTGAAGAGGATGCTGCTTCTCACCCAGGCTGGGCTTGGGAGCAGTGCATTGCAAATGCTGAGTCTGCTGCTGCTCTAGGCACAGGATGAGAGAGAACGGGAAGCCAAGTCACATCCAGCTATTCCTGTTTAAAAGTAGAGAAGAGCCACACAAAATTGCACAAACCTGCCAGAATAAATTTTTCAGGGTCTGAAGTAGTAGCAGACACAAAGCATTTGAAGTCAGCAGAAACTGCTTTTCCTCTGTAACTTAGCAAACAGGGGCCCAGTGGACTGAGCTGGGCTCCAGTCTCTGATCTCTGTGTTAGATTGTGCTAGGCTGTGGGGTTGGCTGAAGGTGGTAGTTACAAACTCCTGGGTGTATCTGTGTTCACCCTCAAGGATGCTGGAAGTTGGGGAGTGAATGGAAGCCCTTGAATTTCCCAGGTTTGTTCCTCAACACCTGAACAGCAGGGGCTGAGAAGGGCTGTACCCAGTGAGCCCTCTTCTCAGTCTGCCAGGTGTTGAGTACCCAGGGAAAGTTGCCCTGGAGGCGCCTAATAGAGTTAACCAAGGTGCCAAAATGCTTTGCCTGGCTCTGATGTTCTGTCCTAATGTCTGCTCATAGCTAGACTGCCTGGAGTACATCCATGAGAACGAGTATGTGCATGGAGACCTCGCTGCTGAGAACATCTTTGTGAACCCAGTGGACCTCACACAGGTGGGGAATGAGAACAGCAGGGGCAGAGGGACCCACATGTGAGCAGAGGCTGTGGGAGGGCTCCTGGGAGTGGAGATGGAGCTCTGTCACTGTGCCCACAGGGTGGGGACGCTAATTGCTGGGACTCGCATGCAATGGGAGCAGAGCCTGCATGCTGTGGAGCTGCTGCTTACAGAAACCAAGGATCTATGTAGGCCAGGAAAGGGTCCTGATGCCCTGGGTTACCTTAAGTCTATTTATATAAGAAACCAGAGGGGAAAAGAACATGGGATGCCCTGGAAGTCTCACTGGCTCCCACTGGAGATCTCCCTGAAGAAGGGGTAAGAGGATGGCGAGCTCCTTGGCTTTCCCAGATCAACAGTGCTCCCTTCTTGCCTCTTGCTGGGGTCCCTCCACAAGTCATTAAGCTTTGTCACTGTCTCTCAGGTCACTCTGGCAGGCTACTGCTTCGCTTTCCGATACTGCCCGGAGGGAAAGCACGTGGCTCACCATGAAGGCAGCAGGACTCCTCATGAGGGCACCATCGAGTTCATCAGCCTGGATAGCCACAAAGGAGTTGGTGAGATCACACAGCCCCAATATCAGGCAGCAAAGTCCAGCAGGAAAAACCTCTGCTGTGCCAGCCCTGCTGGCTTGTGGCTTCCTCTGCTTGAGCTTGTTTCCCTTTTCCTGATGCTCATCTAGGGAGTGTCCCTCCCAGCCAGCCAGCCTACTGCTCCCTCCTGCCATGCAGCTCCACCAAGTGACTCAGGCAGGAGGCATGAGGATGTTTCCAGTCTACCTGAAACCCAGCCAGGGTAGGGAGTAGAAATCCAGGAACAGGGTGTGCTGGTGAACAGGAACACATACCAAAGCCTTCCCGGAGTCCCTTCCCAAAGTGGGTTAGACCTGGGAAAGGGCCTAGCTCCAGTATCTGGCCTGGGCACTTTCCTTCCATACACTCACTGGTCCCTCACCCAATCTACTGCTAAAAGGCCCAGATGATGGGGGTAGGGCTATGTGAAATGGCTGTGTTTTGTTTCAGTTTCGGAGGGACAGTGGTTCATTTCAGTGTTTCAGATCATTGTCGCATTTCAAATCAACCGAATCTGTTTCAGAATTTCAATACTGTTTTGGCGTTTTGGCCATAGGCTATAATGGGGCATCACTAAAATGCCTATAACTTTTGTCATTCCTTGCCTGATTTGGATGAAAATTGCAGGGATGGTAGCCCTTCTGAGGGCATGACGCCTGCCAAGTTTCAAGGAGGTGCAGGGTTTTCTGGGAAGCTGCATCTCAAACTGCTAAAAGCAAAACTGGTGTCATTGGCTGGCAGCAGCAGCCTCCTGTCATCCCGCACACAGATCTTGGGGCCTGTGCCCCCGGGAGGGCTGTGGGGTTGTGCCGGACTCCTCCCAGGGGTGCGAGACCCCAGATTTCCATTTGGGATGACAGGAGGCTGCTGCTGCCGCTGGCCCCAGGCAGCAGCAGCAGCCTCCTGTCATCCCGTGTGCTGATCTGGGGGCCTGTACCCTTGGGCACAGCCCACGCCCAGTGCCAGGAAGACTGGTGCTGCCGCTGGCCCCAGGCAGCATTGACAGCGTCCTGTCATCCCGCGTGCAGATGTGGGGGCCTATGCCCCTGGGAGGAGTCCAGCAGCGCTGGGAGGGTAGGTTGAACTCCGTGGGGCTGGCGGACCCACCTGGAGTGCAGCCCTGGCTGTCCCCACCTCCTGCCGCAGGGCTGCACTTTGAGTGGCTCTGCCAGCCCCATGGAGCTCAGCTCAGCGGTAGGAGATCCAGTGGTGGAGCCACTTGGAGCGCAGCCCTGGTGAGCACAGCCTGGTGGCTGGAGGCTCCGCAGGCCCATGGAGCTGAGCCTGGTGGCGGGAGGCAGGAGAGAACCACTGGCCAGGGCTGCACTCCAAGCAGCTCTTCCACTGACTCTCTCTTCGCCTCCTGCTGCTGGGTTGAGCTCCATGAAGCTGGCGGAGCTGCTTGGAGCACGGCCCTGGTGAGCACAGCCCCGCAGCGGGAGGCTCTGCAGCCCCATGGAGCTGAGCCTGGTGGCGAAAGGCGGCACAGGGTCAGTGGTGGAGCCGCTTGGAGTGCAGCCCTGGCTCTGATCGCAGGTATGGTCAGTGGCTCTTCCTTGCCTCCTGTTGCCAGGCTCAGCTCACTGGACCTGCAGAGCCTCCAGCTACTGGGCTGTGCTTGCCAGGGCTGCACTTAGAGCCAGGGCTGCGCTCCAAGTGGCTCTGCCAGCCCCATGGAGCTCAGCCCGGCAGTAGGAGGCGGCAGGAGAGCCAGTGGCGGAGCTGCTTGGAGCGCAGCCCTGGCTCTCCCCCACCTCCTGCCACCAGGGTCAGCTCCATGGGGCTGCGGAGCCCCCCGCCTCCAGGCTGTGCTCACCAGGGCTGTGCTCCAAGCAGCTCCGCCACTGGCTCTCCTGCCGCCTCCTACTGCCGGGCTGAGCTCCATGGGGCTGGTGGAGCTGCTTGGAACGCAGCCCTGGCTCTCCCCCACCTCCTGCCACCAGCCTGCTTCAAAACTCGAAACGTTTCAAAATGTTTCAAGTGCCCTCATTTCGTTTCAAAGCTGTTTTGAAGCCTTTTGTGTCGTTTTGATTTCACTGTTTCGAGCTCAAAACGCGTTGAAACAGCTTCGAAATGAAACACTCGTCAAAATTTCACACAGCCCTACTCTTTATCCATCTCCCAAACTCTGCTTTCTCAAAGAATTTCTTGAGCATATGTAAACTTTTTTTGTTCTTTCCCCTCCCCTCAGCTCCATCTCGCCGGAGTGACCTGGAGTCTCTGGGCTACTGCTTGCTGAAGTGGCTCTGCGGCTTCCTGCCCTGGTCTAATGAGCTGGCCAATGTTCAAGCTGTGATGGAACAGAAAAAGAGGTGAGCTCTGGGGTGGGAGAAATGGCTGACCACTCTGTGGGGGCCTTGGAAGTAAAGGAGTAAGATCAGAGGTTTCATAACTCCCAGGGGACACTTAGCTGATTTGATCCAGTCAGAATTAACAAGACACCCAGCTTCTAAGGGCTGGCTCCCCTGAAAGTTACCTCTCCTGACTCCAGTGGAATCAGGCTTTATCCCAGCATTTCAGACAGATGTGCAGTGAGGTCTGGTTTGTCCCCCAGAGAGTGGGCTCGGCCATCTCTAATTCAGTCACCCCAGCACAGCCTTAATTTGCCCACATGGCTGGAGGCTGCTTGTTCTGGGGTCCTCTGCTTGTGTCTGTTGTTTATCACCAAATGTTTGTCAAATGCTGTAGGCACAGAATGGATGTGACTGGCCTCCTGAGACTGTGCTATGTCCGGAAAACAATTCCAGGTATGGACCAGCATAGGGCCTTGGAATGGAGGGGGACATAGAGCAGTGGGGGTTGAGTCCAGTTACTCTCTGAAGCTCAAAGCTGCTCTCTTGTGGGAACCATGACATGCCAGCTCTCAGGCTCCCTCACTTCCTTTGTGCTGGAACAAGGGTGGGTGTACACTGTGTCAGCTTCTGTACACCATGGGGCAATATTCACGAGCCTAGCTTTGAAGGCAGTATGAGCCAACAACAAATGTGGGGGAGGGGGAAACCAGGTTCTCTTCCCAGCTCTGCCACTTACATGTTGGGTGACCTTGGGCAAGTTGCATATATATGGAGCCAAGTCCCTCCAACTGTCTAACAATGAGGGGGGCTTTGGTGGTGGTTAGCAGCTGGTTCAGAAGTGCCTGGGGGTGCTGCTCTCTGGAAATACAGTCATCTGTACTGAAGTTCCTGGTGTCTGGTAGGTGCCCTACAGAGCTACCTGCAGCAAGCAATGGCTTTAGAGTACGAGGAGAAGCCAGACTACGAGGCTCTGCGAGAGATCTGGAGGAAGCCACTGGAGAGGATGAGAGCTTCAGCCTATGACTCAGTGGATGTCAACATGGTGCCCTAGGTAATGAGTTTTGATTGCAGGTGAGGTAGGCAGGGTCTCCCACTGGTCCCTCTGCAAGTGGGGAACACTGCCCTGTTCTAAAAAAAAAATCTCTCCTATACACACACGTGTGCCACTATAAGAAGGGTTGTTCTCATCACTGGCCCTGTCCAGATGAGCGCAGACGTATGGTATATGGCACTGCACATGCAGGCGTTTCCTGTGCTGCTACCTTGCGGAGGAGGGGGGGATTGGGTTTGACCTTGGGATATCCTGGGGTCAAATAAAACCCATGTCTTAAAAAAGCGGGCCAGCCTGCCAGAGCCACACTTCAGCTGCCAGCCAGGCTCCTAGCTGCAGGAGCACAGCTGTACTCCCCCAGGACCCCACATAAGGCTGCTGCGGCCAGCACCCAGCCTTCTCAACCCCACCCAGGGTAAATTGCTGCGCACTAGAGGGCGCATAGCACAGGCATTCCCCAGGGATGAATAGCAGTGGCCCCAGGTATGCTGAAGCTTCTTGTCCCCAGGAAAACAAATGGTGCGTGTGTAGACATGGTCACTGAGTGAAAAGGTGGGGGGAGAGCCTGAGCCCAGACACTTTTTATAAGCTCCAGAAGGAGCCATGTTCTGCATAATCCCTTTCAGCATGCTGTGTCTTCATTTTCCATTCCTTAGCTCTCTTCTAGTACTCAAGTCCCCTGCCCTTTCCTCCCATCTCTGATCAGTTTCCCCAACTCTTCCAGCTGGTCATCTCTCATGCTAGAGATCAAGAAAAGCTTCTACAACGGGTGGGACTTGCCTTTTGGGAAGAGCCTCAGTCTGGTGGAGCTCCTCCTACCAGGACTCCCTAGTCTTTCCCCTAAACACTTTGTTCCCATTTATCATCCATCAGGGAACCTGACAGTTTATTTGGGTTAAGTTGGCTGGAGGATCACTGCCCAGCAAGGGGGTTGTTGTCTGGGTCTGTTCCAAAGGCCTAGAGAAAGATTTCTAATGCCTTTTATTCACATTTGGCTTTTGCACTTGGCAGCACTCACACACTGAGCATCCTAGAGCCAAAGCAGGGAGAAAAGGGAGTCTTTAGACCAGTGATACTCAGCCAGGGTGCTGTGCAGTATTAGGTGTACAAACACTAACACATGATTCACAAGATAAACCTAGAGATTTCAAATAGGAATCTGTAGTGCCAGAACCAGTTATCTGTTGAAGTCTTTGAGTTCTTTGCAACAGAAGAATTGTTCCATTATTTTTCTGTAGTCAAAAAATAAGTGAAAGCTCAGCACTAACATTTTCCAAAAGGTCCTTGAGTTTAAAAAGGTTGAGAACCACTGCTTTCGACATTAACAGGCTTTCGGTATAAAGGTATCCAGGCTCTCATTTGTACTTATCCAGTTAAACAAGTTCCACTTCAGGTACACTGGTCAAGCACAGACCTGCCTCCTTTCCCTTTTTAAAGACAACTTTCTAACTATAGCTTTGCTGAGGTACTGCTATTTAATGCTCTCAGAGGTCGTCGTGTCTGTTCCAGACTCATGTTTGCAGGATTTAGGCCTCTCCAACACTGCTTCTGCCATTCTGGGCCTAGGGGTGCCCATAGATCACATGATAAAGGACATCAAGCGGGACAAGGAATGTTACCTATAGGTGGGCCATAAATCAGTCAAATCCTGTTACCTCTGCACTGGCAGAACTGCTTGTTCCATTCTGGAGACCATTAAATTCATTGATACTTGATGAACTAATGGCCTAAATTCATCCCAAATCTGATTCCTGTTGGGGGCGGGGGGAAGCAGCACCCCTCCTTCCAGAACTGAATTTGGCCTATTGTCTTAGTTAAGAAGCAGATTTATGCAAGCCTGGCTGGTTTTATTCTCCATGACTTACATTCAACTTCACATGGTGCTGCTGTCAGTGAACAGGCTAGAGCTGGCCAGTCACATTCTGCTCCGTGATTAATGCAGTGCTTTGTGGCTTTCAGATTTGAGGAAACTTGACTGAGACTGAAAATGTAGGCCTGTTGGAAGGGATGCACCCCCCCCGCTCAAGCTGTGCAGCCAGCTCTCACTGTGCCATTACATTTTGTTCTAGAATTGTGACTTTTATAGATTGTTCTTAGAGATTTTACCGTAAGTTAAAAGCTGAAATTTGAGCCAGCACTGTTCCTTTATGAGCTTCAACTAATGTGAAGACCCACTCCTTCATGGCAGATGGCTACCCAGCCATTTGGAACTACTGAGGCACCCATGCATATTGCCATGGAGACAAGGGCTGAACCTGGTGAAGGGGAAGAAATTGGGAATTTTAAACATTTGTATCTTCCTAGAAATGTTTTCTAATAAACTAGTTTCAGATGGATCCTGTAGCCTTCTAGTCTTAATCTTTTTATTTGCTGTGGAAGCCTTCCTCTGGGTGTTAGTCATTTCCTAGAGGCAAAACAAGGATGTCATAGATTTCATAAGACATTCGGGCTGGAAGGGACCCCGGAGGATCACCGAGTCCTGCCCCAGGCGCAGGAAGTCAGCAGGGATCATAGGATCCCAGCAAGATAAGCATCCAAATGTCTTCGAAGGTGCTCAAAGCGGGTGCTTGAGCCGCCTCCGGCGAGTCTATTCCAAACCTTGGGGGCTCGGACGAAATACCTTGACCCAAGTTACTTGGATGTGATGCAGTGAGAGCTGGGAATAGAATCATTTTCTGTATGCAGTAGCTAGTTTTGGTGTAAAGCACCAAGTGCATGTCACACAATTCTTTCATCTGAGAGGTGAGATTTATTGTCCTGATGGTAAACTCTGTGTGATTGCAGCAGTATGGGGCCCTCTTCTGTGTTAGCCCTGAAGAGGAGTTCATAATCTTCCATCTCCCATTCTATCTACCTCTGCTTGCTAAAGACATTCTCCCATGGCTGGGCTCCAGCAGTTGGTAGAGGCAGGGAGTAACTGGGATTTTGCACCTTGTTTTGTCCCCAAGACCTACTCAATGACATTAGGGCAAATGGTCAGGCTAGTTGCATGAACTGTTGGCTGACTAGTTCTGTGCTGTTGGGTTTGTTGTCTCCAGCTCAGTTCTTACCTTTTGCATAAAGATGAGTCCTACCTCCTTTACTTTAACAGCTCTAAGCTACACCTGGTGCTGGCTATAAGATCCACTCACTTAAAAAAAAAAAAGGAGGGCAGCGTACTTGAAGCTGGGATCCCCCTTCAGGGGCACTGGAAAGCCACTTTCACAGTATCTGCACTATACATTCTGGTGAAGCAGTACAAAAATTAAATCTAGCTCTACTGAAAAGGACAAGATCATCTTGATTACTACAGACAGTTACTAGTAGTATTAATACTAAAGATGCCACTCATTAGCTTACTCACAGCCTTAGCTAGAGCTTAGTCTCAGCCACTCAGTTCTTGTGACAACTTGTTCAAGTGTTTCAGGGCAGATGAGCATTAAATCTACCCCCAGTATAACCACCAATTAATATCAACTTAATTTATTAAGTATCATGTTCATGTGTAAAGAAAACAAGGAGTCTAATATTAAAAAAATTATTTTATCAAAAAGTCACTACATTGTAGGTAACTGTCATCGTCTCTGCCACTGTAACTTCTAAAATAAAGGAGGGGGAACATGAAGTGCAGTTCCAGTGTTAGTTCATAGTGACATAGCTCCCAGAAATCTTGTACCTTGGTACCTTAACACTTACACCCTGTTCAAAAGGCAACCCATCCTGTAACAAACCATCCATAGGATGAAGCAGTTTTATCCACAGCCTTGGGCTTGTTGCAACATGGTGATTTCTTATAGGTTCTCCAGCCTGCATTAGGCATGAAACTGAGCTCAGCTATTGGAATTGCACACGTTCTCCTTGGCTGGCTGGAGTGCAGTGAGGAGACATCTAAGCCGGGGCTTTATCCAGAAGTGATAGTTACCCTTACTGCAGTGCCATCTCTGTTCTAGTGTTCAAAATGATATGTACTCAACTTGGACATGTTGGAAATGGCCAGGAAGACAATATGCAATAGACAGGAAGTGAGGTTGACCTAATGGAGGAGAAGGTGGCAGTTTAACCACAGAACAAAGCTACAGTCTGCAGCAGGACTAAAGGAAGGCACAAGGCAGTGAAGTGTTAAGGCACAGAAGGGAGGCTCTTCAACTGAGAGAGAACATATGACAGCTAGAGAGGGGACTGGATTTGCCTTATCTACACCTCTAACTGGAGGTGAGAGGGACTACATCCAGGTGGGATTGGGTTCAATGCCTGATGGGTAGAAGGGAGGTTTAAAAGTTCAGGTCTGATACAGAGTAAACCTCTATTTACCTGTACCCTGAGGACTTGGTCCTCCATTTGCTTTCCTTGTATCCATAAAATGATCAGTAGTGAACTGTGTGTACACATAATGGGGGACACCACTTGAGCGAGCAAGCAATTGGCAGAGTGAAGCCACAGAAATGGCCTGAGCTTTTCAGTTGGAACTTGAGCATAGTGTTACATGTATGCCATAACAAGGGGACAAAACTTGCTTCCCTTCTTTTGGAGTCAGCTACCCAAAGTGTGAAGTTATGGAGGACACACATATTCACCTACCAGCAGAGGCTAGAAGTGAAAGGTGACAAGACAGCAGTGGATGGTATAGAGGGGCTCTTTGCTTAACATGTGCTCAAGACTAGAATGGAAAGAGGGGTTTTAATTTGCATAGGATCAAAGTAGAAGGGCCATTTTAAAAAGCAGCTGCCTAGAAATGAGGTGGCCCAGTAATGGGCCACAGAAGCAGGAACTGGGCTTGAGGACCCTGATGGGCATAGGCTAGCTGGGAAAGGAGGGGCTGGCTTATACAGGCATCAACAATTACTTACTACCTTCCCCTGCAAGACTACACAGAAATACTGTTTCCAGGAACCCTTTTAGGTAAAACAGCATGAAATTAGAGGCTCAAGAAGCCCAAGTTCATCTTTTCTTCACTGCGTTCAGCCACATTTCTCCGCTTGACTTGCCTTCTGTCACACTGGCCCTTGCAAGGTTTGGAGTGGACAGATTGTAAACATGATTTCAAGTAGTAAGACAGGTATGGCCCTTTGTTCATGGAACTGCCCAGAGACAGCACTGAGGTAGTTTTGAGATATGCTCCAAAATTACTGTCTGCAGAGGAAGTAGGACTAGCACTGTTAACAGAGGAATAGCCTGAACTGGCCTCTAGTGTAGGTTCTCTTGGGGTCAGGGGTGTGAGCCACTGTTGGTCAGCCTCCCTCCCCAGAACATCCTGTCGGGACCACATTGTGGGTGGGATATCTTCATCGCTGGAATCCTGACAGCAGTGGTTTGCAGGATCCATGTAGACCACAGTTACATCCAAGACTCCACTGGGAGCTGTTACTGACAAAAGATCAAAAGGAACAGGTTAGTTTCTAGTTGGATATACTGGAGTACAGTGTAGCCAGGAAAGGCAGAGCCTCAGCACAGGCTGGAGAATCCTGAGTGCTTGAGTTTGAATCCTGGATGGATTAAGACAGAACTGAAAGCTCAAAATATTCCCTTGTGTAAGAGGGACCCCACTGCTGTATTCTAGCAACTGCTGGCATGCAGGACAGGCTATATACAAAGCACTGAGTTATACAGCACTGACAGAAACACAGATACTGCAGTACTGACCAAGCTGCCACATAACTAGTGCCACAGAATTCTTGGCACTTTCCAGATTCTAGCAGGGGATGGTAAGGAGCAGATCACAGCAGCAGTGAAATCTATTAACAGCCAGCCAGGAATACTGCCCTTGTTAGTCCTTCAAGTCCAACAGAACATGCTTAGAACAGGCTGCAGTTCTTCATCTTCCTGAATTTGAAGCCAGTGAACAAAACCTTTTGAGACTTGTAACCAAATATTTTCCAGCAGCACAAAAGAATGAGGGAGTCCTGGAGATGCATAACATTTTGGTAATGCTAAGATTGTTGTGTAAAGGTACTCTCTCCAGAGTACAATGACAAGGAGGCCTTTCAATGTTGCCCTTTGAAATGTGCTTTTTCAGCAACCAAAGAAATAATAGAAAGATGCACAACTCACCATCTCCCTCTTTCTCGCCTTCACTTTCCTGATCTCCTTCATACCCAGAGCAGGAGTCTAAGCTCCAGTCCAGAAAGTTGTCCAGAAGACTCTCCTCTTGGGTGGACAGTTCAGCCGTGGGTGTAGTTACAAAACTGCCCCGGTCTTCCTGAATGCTGTCTTCCCTTCTCCTGCAGCATGGAAGCCAGAAGTTAGTTAGCCTGAGATCATATGGATGAAAGGAAGGAAAAGACCAGGCCAATCTCTGCTCGCTTAGCTATAAAAACTCCTCCAGAGAATGCTACAAAACTGACAACTTGCACAGCAAATCCAACCCTTTCTTTGGGTGATATGAGAAAGAATTGCTTGGATCTCTAAAGAATGGAAGGTCTGAATAGAAGAAAGGAGGAAATGCCACACTGAAGTGTGTGCACAGTCTTAGGGAAGCCAGGTTCCCCTTGGCTTATGTCCGAGAGAGACCTCCCTTCTGAGTTATATTAGGTCCCATGGGTATGCACACAAACAGAAGCGCACACACACGGAATTATCAGCTTACCAACCTTTTAGTTCTCTTTCCAGAAGGAGAGCTAAGGAAAGTTTGAATTTCTACTGCACTCGTGTGCAAGGGACTGGGCTCTGGGTCCTCCTGCTTCACTCCTAACAGCAGACAGAGCTGGCTGTAACTCATCACCTAAAAAGCAAGGGAGTTTAGTGAGACAACTACAGCAGTGCACTCCAAGCATCAGGGCATCTGACTGCTTGATCTGGAACTGCTCCTTGGCATTTACAGCCCCACTGCGCAATGTATACTCCCGAAGGGAAGCAGCACTAACATCACACATTACTTGTGCACCTCTCCACTATTACTATTCCTTTAGTGCAGTGGTCCTCAACCTGTTTGCTTGAGTGGGCCACACTTGTAGTTCTCAATGTGTTATATGGACTGCACCCACACAACTTACTTCCGGTGTATCCATTTAACAGGATGTCACATGGCCTGCAGCAGCGTGCAGATTGGGTTGCATGCAGCCTGCAGGTTAAGAACCATTGCTTTAGTGCGTCCTTCATATCCTGCCATGTAGATTTCTCTGCTGAGGGTGTGTCACCACAGAATAGAGAAAAGAAAAAGGCTACTAACACACCTTCTCCTTGCCAATTTCTTCATAACGTTCATCTTCAAATCGTTGTTTTACAGCAGTCAAGGACACCTGCCTATAATCCTTTGGGACATCATCATGGAAACTAAGAAGAAAAATCACAACACAGGTCACTATATTGTACAGGACTTGTTAGAATTCCTTTGTTTCATAGGTCTCAAGGATCGCTCTCAACAGCTC